AGGGGATACCATGACATCTATGAGTCCACAGCACGCTGCCTCTGCTACTGTTTTTGTGTCTGTTTCCAGTGGCTTCTTTAAAAATGCAGCTGGTGAGAAATTCTGCTGGTAGGAAACTGAAATTTCATGGACTAGCAGTAAAGCAGTTCTTGCTCTTGACAGCACTGGCCACTTTTCCACCAAATGAAGCCAGTGTGATGTAGTGTTTATAGTATCAGGTAGGAAGGGGGAAAATCTGATTCCAATCCTCTGTCCTGCCACAAAGTTCTCTGGGTGACTTTGTACATAGACACCATCTCTCCACCTATTCTATCTGTTGAAGTTCCTGTGACAAGAAATGGGGAGGGAGAAGGAATCATGTATGTGATGGATTCCTTGCAGAATGAAGAATAATCATAAAATAAACAAAACCATAAAGGACTGTGGAAAGGATGAACTGGAGTACAAATGGGGGGGGGGAGTGGTCCATGGTCGGGAAGATATGATTTTAACTAAATGTTTTAGCAAATATTTTAGCTTTGCATAATAAACCACCTTGTATTCCACTTTGACGACATTTTCTAGGATAGGACAATTTTTAAAAGGAAGAATGGGAGCAACAGCCTCAGCCAGAAGGTTCAGCTGGGAACACATTCCATACATTATTTAAAGTAGGAGTATTTCCATTAGAGCCAGCTGAGAACCACACAAGTCATCTAGAAATATGGCATGTTAATAAATTAGAGCTGGATCACTTCAGATTCTATAGCTATTTCTTCATGTGAAAAGCTCTCTGTACATAGAAAACTAATAATCATGAAGTAAGCCCCCATTGAATTCAGTGAGACTAACTCATGAGTAAGTGTGCTCAGGGCTGGGCTGCATGACTACTGAAGTCCTTCTGTAAGAAAAATGTAGAAAATTGTGTGTGTCACAGAATGGTCTGAATAGAAAGGTTTAGTTTTACTTACGGTATCCTTGTAGGTTCTCATAAAGGAAAGGATCTCTCTTCTTCAGTGAATGGACCAATAGGTCACAGGCTCTTTCACCTTTTTTCAAAATGGAGTGAATCAAACTTCTTGAGGCATCCTGCCTAATCTTTTGGACAATAGTATCTGTTTCTTCATCAGACAAAACAGATTTTTCAAATAGATCGTCTGCAATTTGTTTGATAGTTGGCATCCCCATTCCTTCAATGAGGTATACGCTGTTGCTCTTTATGAACTCCACTGGGGAAAAAGAACCCTTCAGTTAGGTCAAATGGATATTACTCATACATGTGTTTTCTTTACAATAAAAATGGTGCAGGAGGGATTAGTTTCTTACCTTACAATGTGAAAAGTACGCAGACGGAGAGTGATTTCAGCAAAGCGTACTTTATTCGATCAGGAACAAGATGACTTTGGCTGGCTCGCAGGCTGGCTTATATTCCCCGAGAAACCGCCACCCAAAGCACACACCCCTTCCCAATAGGTTATTTACAGTGGCCTGATTGGAGCGGGCTAGGATCCACATAGTCCATTGTCTCTTGGAGCGAAGCTCGAAGTTTGTGCCTGACCGCGTGGAGCCCAAGCCGGCCACGCGGTCTGGACTGGATACATTACACAATGTTAGGTAATATAAGCAGGGGACCCACAAGACTCACTTTGGGGATTCCATCCTCCCCCCCCCCTTTGCTTGTTTGGCCACCCACTCTCTGCCTGCCTGGCTCATGTGGTGGCTAGTTTTGCTCCTCCTCCCTCCTGCTCCAAGCACTGACCTGCTCCCACAGTGGTGGTTTCTGCTCTTCCTGCCTGCCAGTTTGGTGTAGTGGTTAAGAGCGCGGACTCTGATTTGGGAGAACCAGGTTTGATTCCCCACTCCTCCATGTGCAGCTGCTGGTGTGACCTTGGGTCAGTAACAAGTTCTCTCGGAGCTGTTCTCTCAAGAGCAGTCCTCGAAAGAGCTGTCTCAGCCCCACATACCTCACAGGGTGTCTGTTGTGGGAAGAGAAAGGGATTGTAAGCTGCTCTGTCCAGCCTTTCGGTAGTGAAGGCTGGGGTAGAAATCCAATATCTTCTTCATCTTCTTCTGCTGCTTACCTGCTGCAGCCCTGCTGCCTTTGCCAGCCAGGCAAACATGATGGTGGCGGTGAGCGTTCCTGCTCTTCCTCTGGCTGCACAGCTCTGTGCCATCTATCTGGCTTACATGACAGTGCAATGGGCAGTAGTGGCAGTGAGGAAGGCAGCCATCAGGAGGGCTGCAGCCAGGAGGCACCAGTTTGTATAATATTTTTAGACAGAGAAGAGCAAAAAGAATAATGGCAACTGGAACATTTCAAAAAGAAAAAGGAAAAGTAGAAGAAACTGATGAAGACCAAAGAATCGAAGAACTGGTGGAAAAGCTATTGCGAACACTGGTGCATCAAATGCAACAATCTGGGGAAAGAACTCAGAAGAACATTCAGGGTATCCAGAGAAACATAGTTAAAGAATATCTTGCTTCAGCTCTAAACAAAAAGTGTGGAGTAGCCATTTATATAAAAAATCCACAATTAGAATTATTAAAAGAATTAAGAGATCCAGAAGGAAGCTATCTAATCTTAAAAATGAGACTCCCAGAAGGCAAGGTGTGCACACTAGCAACAATATATGTGCCAAACAATGCTAAAGTTAATTTTTTGGAATTTTTTCCACAAACTATGCTAGAATTTCAGGATGAAAATACAATGCTTTTTGGAGACATGGAGTACTAGATCCAAAAAAGATTTAGGTATTCTAAATGTGAGAAACTATTGAAAAACATATTCTAATATTTGGAAATGCTGGAATTAGAAGACATCTGGAGGATCAAGCATCCAAAAGGCAGAGATTTTACATTTTTTTCTGATAGACATAAAACATACTCAAGAATAGATATGTTCTGGATATCAAAAAGTCTAACAACAAATCTAGACAAAGCAGAGATTCAGACAAAGATATTTGCAGATCATAATCCTATAGAAGTAGTTTGGCAATGGAACAGAAAACTAAGAGGAAGATGGAGACTAAATGATACTCTTTTACTACAAGATGATATAGTAAGCAAATGTAAAAAAGATCTGGAATTTTTTAAAAAAAAATACAGAAGGAATGTCCTCAGCTACAATTTGGGAAGCAAGTAAAGCATTTATTAGAGGAATCTTATTAGCAGCTGCTTCCAAGAGAAAAATCAGAACAAACCAAGGTATTAGTAGAAAAAAATCTAGAGATTGGCGCAAGAGCACAAAAAAACCTCCAATAAAGACACACTAGCAGATATCAGACAATTAAAAACCAATTAGACATGTTAGAAATGGAAGAGGTACAGAAAAAAAATTATAAAACAAAGGCATTTTGAACATGCCAACAAACCTGGCAGATACTTGGCATACTGTCTTAGGAAAGAGAAAGAAAAAAGAGTAATAACGTGTAAAGAAAGGAGATCGAATTACATATGCAGAAAAAGAAATAACAAGAACAATTTATCAATGGTCTTTCAGGATTATACAAAAAGCAGTCTGTCTCAGAAAAAAGGAATAAGAGAATATCTACAAGACATCCCAATCACAAAATTTATGCCAAAACACAGAAAAAATTCAAACCAAATAATAAATTTCCCAGGCAATAAAAAAAATGTTGAAAAGGACAAAGCACCAGGCCCAAATGGGCTGACAGCAATGTATTACAAACATTTTGAAGAAGTTTTAATGATATCATTATAAAAAGTTATGAATGAGATAAAAGAAGGAAAGACAATACCTCCGATGTGGCAAGAGGCATATATAACGTTAGCGATGCAATGCTACCATAGTCATATAGACCTATTGAACGTAGATTATAAGATCTTTGCCACAGTAATGGCAGAAAGACTAATAAAATGGATACAGAATTCAACACACACTGATCAAACAGGCTTTGAACCAAATAGGTATATGAAAGATAATATACGATTTATAATAGATGCAATCGCATTTGTGAACAAGAAAAGAAAGAAAGCAGTGTTTTTACTTCTGGATTCAGAGAAAGCATTTAATAACTTAACATGGACTTTTCTACTGAATGTACTTCAAAATATGGGCTATGGCCCTGAATTCTGGAACTGGATGCAAGGTATATACTCAAACCAATAAGCAAAGATTTTAATAAATGGAAAATTAACAGACACAATTTCAATTGAAAAAGGAACACACCAGGGATGTCCCTTGTCACCCCTACTATTTATCCTAGCAATAGAGACTTTAGCTACAAAGTTCAGATAAGACATAAGGATCAAAGGAATAAAAGCGGATTATGTAGAATTTAAAATGAAAACCTATGCAGATGATGTGGTTCTAACAGTCTTGGATCCCCCAAAATTGTTACAGTACATAATAGAACATATTGAAGAATTTGGATCCTTCTTCCAAGAGGAAAAAGAGGACTACTTCTTGAGAGAACAGCTCTGAGAGAACCTGTGACTGACCCAAGGTCACACCAGCAGCTGCATTTGAAGGAGTGGGGAATTAAACCCGGTTCTCCCAGATTAGAGTCTGTGCTCTTATTCACTACACCAAACTGGCTTTCAGGTAGTCATTATCTGCATATTGGTGACAATCCTGCACAAATCTCTGGGTGACCTCCCCAGCTGTTTCATGTAGATGTTAAAAATGCATGGGGGACAAAATGGAATCTTGTACAATCCCAAAGGCCAAGGACCCGAGCAGCTGAAAACCGTAATTGATAATATTGAAAGCCACTGAGAAGACTGCAAGGATTAATAGAGTTGCACTCCCCTATCCATCTTCAAGTGCTGGTCGTCCATCAGGGCAAATAATGCTATTTCAATCCTATAACCAGGCCTCAAACCAGATTGGAAAGAGTTCAAGCAATCCACTTCATCCAGGAGACTGGATGATAGCTATTCAGATTTCCTAGTTCCAGGGTAGGTTTCTTTAAGAGTGGGCACACTACCCCCTCTCTCAAGGAAGCATTTACTCCCTCCCAGATCCACTCAGCCAGCTCCCCCACCCAGTTGATTTAAGCAACCAGGAGGGGCAAGGGTCATACAAGCACATCCTTAAAATACAAAGAAAAACAAAGTCCTACTACCCTTTTATATTGTTGTATACAAACACAGAGGTGCTTAATGCCTTCTAGGGTTGCCAAACCCCCCCCTGGTTTGCCAGGGGTCCCCCGTTTTTTGGGGGGTTCTACCCGCTGCCAGCCAGATGGCCGACGGGGGAAGCCCCACCCCCAACACCCACAGCCACCCATCTCTCTCCCTTTAAGTGTGTGGAACCCGTGTTTCCTCCCAAGCCTGATCGCCACAAGCTTGCAGGGAAATGCCAGCTTCGTGTTCTTAAAAGGGAAATGCGGCTGCTCTTAAAGGGGAAATGCTGGCTCCTGCATTTAAAAGGGAAATGCTGGCTCCTTTAAGTGCAGGGAACTGCTGTTTCTGGAGATCCGGTGCACGGGCGGGTGGGGGTGGGCGGCAGACGTCCCCAATGTGACGTCATCACGTTGGGGATGCCCCGCCCCCTCCAGGAACGCCCCCAAAGTCCCCCGCTGGGGGTGGAAGATGGACTTGGCAACCCTAATGCCTTCTGCCCCTCCTTACAACACCTAGAACCAACCCAAACACCACTTGAAACCAAAACAAATCACATGACTTGCCCACCTCCATGGGTACCAAGTGATCAGAGCAACCACAGTCTTGTCTCATTAGTCACCTTCTCTTTCAGTAGCTGGGCAAATAGATGGTCATAGAGGCACACCAGCAACACTGCATGCCTGAGTCTGCTGCAGGGATGTGGTGCCATTTTAGTTCTTATTCTTAACTTTTCAAAATCCTGAGGGGTCCTGATACTGCTGGAGACTGTGACATGGGGAGATGGGGGGATCCTTCCATTTTTAAGAGCGCAGGCAGCTCTTGCAAATGGCATGTGAAGGCAAGGAGACAAGAGCCTCTCATCTCCCCATGCCATGAACTCCAGCATTATCAGGATCCTAGGGCATTTTGAAAAGTTAAGGAACAAGCTCTAAAACGGCACCAGGTCCTCATGGTGAATTCAGGCACACAGTAATGTCTAGTTTGGCCCTATGACTGTGTGACAGCATGGTGATTTAAAAATGTTTATTTCTTATGAAAAGTAGTGCTTCAGAATCTACAATCTCCATAAAGAGGGGCATAACAATAAATATATAATCTTTTCTTTCAGGATAGTAAATGAATAAATTGCTCCAGTCTTCCGGATAGTGGGAAAGAGGAAAAATGAATAAAGACAGAAAAACTCAGTACAATATTCTATACTTTGTTTTCTTTAAAAACCCAGTGTTCTATACTTCATAGTTTTGTAAAAAAAACAAGGACTTACTTATTCTGATTTGAAGATTTTGTGCCAAAACATGTAAAAGGGTATAACAGCTGGATTCAGAAGTCCATGTTTAACCCATCTAATGTACTGCTTTCTGAAAGGGAAATATTGTGCAACAGAAGAAGCAACATCATAAGAATTACATTTAAGTGACAAATATTTGTAATTCAGCTTTTTGTTAGTATGAGAGTTAGCCATCTGATTCTGAATGAGTCTCTCAGAAAAGAATGTTAATGTTTCTTAGAAGCTGTAGATATTTCTACAGTGTGGAACATCATATCTGGACTTTGGAAGTTTGAGAAGGAGAAAAGCAAATAGACAGACAGAATCAGGTGGGTAGCCATGTTGGCCAGAAGCAGCAGAACAAAGTTTGAGTCCATTGGCATCTATACTTCTGTGTTGATACAGAATCTAGACCCCTAGATCCTTTTTCCACATGCCAAGGCAAGACTCCCCATCCTGTAACTGTGCATTTGATTTTTCCTACCTAAATGCAGAACTTTACATTTATCACTGTTGAAATTCATTTATTGTTTTAGCCCAGTTTTCCAGCCTATCAGGATCATCCTGTATCCTGACTCTGCATTCTACCATATCTGCTACTCCTCCCAATTTATTATCATCTGCAAATTTAATAAGCATTCCCTCTATTCCTTCATCCAAATCATTTATAAAGATGTTGAACAAAACAGGTCCCAGGACAGATCCTTGAGGCAATCCACTTGTCACTCCTCTCCAAGAGGATAAGGAACCATTCACAAGCACTCTTTGGGTGTGATCTGTCAAACCAGTTACAGATCCACCTAACAGTCATAGGATCCAAACCACATTTTATCAATTTGTCAATGAAAATATTATGTGGAACCTTATCAAAAGCCATACTGAAATCAAGATAAACTATGTCTACAACATTCCCCTGAATCATTCTCTCACTCTCCCCACGTCAAATCGTCATTATAAGCATAATAACTGCATAAGATATGTTGGTTCAGAGAATCCTAATATAAAGACCTCCAAATGACTGGCTATTGACACAGAGAGTACTCCATCTTTCTGTGTTATACCTCCAAGGATGCGAGTCACAGCTGCTGGCGAAACATCAGCTATTACAGTGCCAAGACCATGGCCATACAGCCCGGAAAGTCTACAACTAATGACTGGCTAGGCTTGTTAGAAATAAAAGAAAGGAAAAAATTACCTCCTCCAAAACAGTGTCAGGAAAATAAAAGTAATCAACAGGCAGCAGTTTTAGTTCCTTCTTGTGCTCGGCATGTTTTTCAGTCACTTCTTTCCTGGATGGTTTCATTTCAATACATTTCCTGGTTGCAAAAACCATGGGTTGGGCAATATCCACTGTAAGCGGAAGATTCCAAGGCCATTATTGCATAGCTCACAACAGTAAAAGGCCCACTTTAAAATTATTTTGATCATTCCAATGCATGCTGTGTTTTGTTGAGGCTACCAAGCATATATGTACAGTACTGAGATATTTGGTTAATACAGCAGAACTTGCCCAGTTGTAGAAGCACGATACTTAGTGCAGTAAATAAATCTCCCGAGAAGTATATTGCAAAAAAAAGTAAACTTACATCCAGTTCACATTCAGATTGCAGTCAATAGAAGAAAAAGAAATCTAATCTAAAGAGTACTTTCCCGATTACTACTCCAGCATCACGTGTGTTAGGGATGGGTATTAATTGGGAAATTTTGGGAATTCATCATCAATATTCTATAATGAGAAGTATTAGAGCCTGCTTTTAGAAGCTAGAAAGTAGCACACACTCAGAATGAACTCTGTTATTAAAAAGTTCATTTGTAGAAAATAAGCTTACACAGCAGAATGCAAAATGTACAGCAGAATGCAGGCGGCAGGATGCCGTCCATCACAAGGTAGACATCTATAGGAACATATTTGTTCATAAGGATAGCAAACCAGGAGATAGCAAACAGCTGCTCTTGTCATAGGCTTGCCAAGTCCCCCCGGGGGGCGGGGAAACCCCTGCCCCAAAGGCCCGTTCCCCGCCGCCGCTGAATCGGGCCCCGGGGGGAACCCCACCCCGACGTGCACATCACCCAGAAGTGACGCAACCAAGCCAAGCATCCTGGGGGCGGGGCCACGGTCATCCGAGGGAAAACTCTATGGTTCTAAACAGCATGATAAAAAGTAGAGACATCACCCTGCCAACAAAAGTCCGCATGGTCAAAGCAATGGTATTCCCAGTAGTCATGTATGGCTGCGAGAGTTGGACTATAAGGAAGGCCAAGCACTGAAGAATAGATTCTTTTGAACTATGGTGCTGGAGAAGACTCTTGAGAGTCCCTTGGACTGCAAAAAGATCAAATCAGTCAATCCTAAAAGAAATCAACCCTGACTGTTCCCTGGAAGGCCAGATAATGAAAATGAAGCTCAAATACTTTGGCCACCAAATGAGAAGGGAGCACTCACTAGAGAAGACCCTGATGCTGGGAAAGATTGAAGGCCAAAGAAGACGGGGACGGCAAAGGATGAGATGGTTTCCGCGTACATAACACCCCTCCCCCCCATAGTTCAGGCTCTACCTCTGTTACGTAGTCATTTAAGTAAGCGGGGGGGGGGCGGCGCTCCTGTAGAGAACGCCGGCTCACAAACCCCCGGTTCCTGCTGGCTAGCTTCGTTGGGCTGTTGGTTCGATTACATCCGGGAGAGTACTGCTTGGCGTGGCCTCCTCACTGGTCCGTGTCTCGGCTGGGATGTCGGGCTCCTGAATGGGTGCTCCCGCACTGGACGCCAACTGGGGGGGGGGTCTCCCATTTCCGGGAGTTGTCGCCTGCGTAGTTGATCGATGTGTCTCTGCAGGAGTCGAACTCCCCGCAAATCTCTGAAAAGTCTCCCAGACCACATTTAAGCACCCCCCCAACCCCGACTGTGATGCTCAGCGGCGCGAACCAGGCCCGCCCCAGCAGACTGATCGGATTTCCCTCGACCACTATCAAGTCCAACAGTCCCTCGAACCCCCGGAACTGCACCCGGAACGTCCCCACCCCCCGGATAGGAACTGGGTTCCTTTGGAAGTCTACCAAGCTCAATGTGGGTGGGCATAAGTGGGGTCCCCCATTTGGGCAAAGTCTGCGTAGTGTGTCCACGGAAACGATGGACGCCGCTGACCCCGAGTCTACTTAAATCATGCAGGGGGACCCTTTGATCCGTACCGTTAGTTGGATCTTCGAGGTAGTCTCTAATTTTGGGAGGCGTAGTACCTGTAGCGATGGCCGATCCGTGAGGAGGTATAGGTCGGACGTCTCCTCTGCCGTCTCATGGGATGAGGTGGCCAGGGGGTGTTGCTGTGCTGGAGGCTGCTTGTGCTGGCTTCCCTTTGACCAGCAGACACGAGCGAGATGATCCTGTTTTCCACAGGTGTGGCATGTTGCGTCGCAGAAGCGACAAGACTTGCGCTCGTGTGCCTCACCGCAGCTGGCACATGAGGAGCGACCTGTGGTGGATCCTGATGCCGCTGGACCCGGTGGCTTTCAGCGCCCTGGCTGGCGGACGAGCCGGATGGCCTCCTTTTCCGAGTTCTCGGGGCCAGAGTACAAGGTGAGCTGCCACCGACTGACAGTCTCGGTGAGAGGCCTCGTGGGCGATGGCGAGTTGGAGGGCTGCATTGAGCTTGATGTCGGCGGTCCCGATCAACTTTTTTCTCAGCTTCTGGTCACTGATGCCCCACGCAAATTGCGTTAAGAGGTTCTCCTCCACCTTTGTGAATGTACAGTCCATGGCCAGCTGTCGCAGGGCTGCCAGGAAAGCTGCGGCCAACTTGCCCGGTTTCTGGACGGGGCTCTGGAACTCAATTCGCTTGGCGAGTGTGGTTGGCTGGGGCGTGTGGTAGCTCGTTAGGGCGTCGATGATCTCCTCGTACGAGCACTCGAGGATTGATCGAAGTGCGAGGAGGCTCTTTGTGAGGCGGACGGTATTCACTCCACATGAGCATAGGAGAAGGGCTCGTCGTTTGCCCAGATTGGATACTTCATTGTAGACTAGATGGCAAGTCAATTGGTCGGTTCATGAGTCCCAGAGCTCGGGATGGGCTAGATCGTAGATTTCCAAGTTTCCCTGAGCAGAGGCCATGGCGAAGCGTTAGCGAGGAGCGGTGTTCCTTGAGGCAGTGCGCGATGTGGTGCTGCTTGAGAGCGAGGCTGGGCGCGTTGGCAGGAACGATGCTCAGTGCTGTGCTGGGATGTGAGCCAGGCCTGGCTCAGCGGGATCCCATCCTCGTCGCCACTGAAAAGTGCTGGGTTCACCGCATGGAGGACTCAGATGACGACATGCTGTAGCACACGTTTATTGTACTTAACACAAAGACTAACTCTAAGGGCCCGACAGGGCCAACTATATACATATCCACCCAGCACTCCCCATTCCCATTGGAGGGTTTGAATGTCCTGCCAAAGTGGCTATTGGTTGGGGCTGGGGGATCCAGGATCCAAAGTTTCCATTGTTCTAGGATCCAAGCTTTTGCCTGTGCCGTGGACCCCTTGTGGCGGCCCGCATACATAACAGTTCATTGGAAGGCCAGATAATGAAACTGAAGCTCAAATACTTTGGCCACCAAATGAGAAGGGAGCACTCACTGGAGAAGACCCTGATGCTGGGAAAGATTGAAGGTCAAAGAAGACGGGGACGGCAAAGGATGAGATGGTTAGACAGTGTCATCAATGCAACGAACATGAAGTTGAGCCAACTTCAGAGGACGGCGGAAGACAGGAAGGCCTGGCGTGATCTGGTCCATGGGGTCACGAAGAGTCGGACTCGACTGTGCGACTGAACAACAACAACATCTGAGGAAAAGTGGTCTTAATGCAGAGTGAGTCTGTCTTCTGAAGGAAGTAGACAGGATGTGCCTTGACTGCTGTGACTGGAGACCGACCAACTTTAAGAACCACTATAGTTGGAGCTGTCATATACTGGTATTTATAAAAAATATATATAGAAATCATTTATACCGCACCTTTCCTCATGGTTCAAGGCAGCTTACAATAGGTCATTTTGATAGATTAGGGTGGGCAGGCATGTTAGTCTGAAGCAACAGAACAAAGTTAGAGTCCAATAGCAACTTTAAGACCAACAAAGTTTTATTCAAGGTGTGAGCTTTTGTGTGCATGCACACTTCATCAGATGATTAAATGGAATTACATATCATAACTGTATATATAGAGGTGTCTTGTTAAATTTAGCATGCAAAATAGTGGTCGAATCTGCATTTGCATTTTTAAATTAGTTTCATGCTGCTGTGACGCTGTCTTTCTCTATGCTTGTTCGAATGTTGTTTGAAGAAGATTCTGTTAAAACAGTGCAGAGGTGCAATGATAGTGGAGCCGCCCGAAAGGACGATAAACATATGTGGACGTGCAAAAGTATGCTAGCACTCTTGAGGAGTGAAAACGACACCAAATGTAGATAGCTTTTTTGAAGACGGAGTCAAAAGGCTGGGACACCGGTGGGAAAGACAAATGCCCCTATATAAATCAATGGTGAGACCTCATTTGGAATACTGTGTGCAGTTCTGGTCACCACACCTTAAAAAGGATATTATAGCTTTGGAAAAAGTGCAGAAAAGGGCAACTCGAATAATAAAAGAGTTGGAACACTTTCCCCATGGGGAAAGGTTAAAGCGCTTAGGGCTCTTTAGCTTGGAGAAAAGACGACTGAGAGGTGACATGATTGAGGTTTACAAGATTATGTATGGGAAAGAACAGGTAGAGAAAGAGGTACTTTTCTCCCTTTCTCACAATACAAGAACTTGTGGGCACTCCATGAAATTGCTGAGTGGTCGGGTTAGAATGGATAAAAGGAAGTACTTCTTCACCCAAAGAGGGATTCACACATGGAATTCACTGCCACAGGAGGTGGTGGCGGCTACAAGCATGGACGGCTTCAAAAGGGAATTAGATAGACATATGGAGCAGAGGTCCATCAGTGGCTATTAGCCACAAGGTATAGATAGGGGCTCTGGGGCAAGTAATGCTCTGTCTTCTTGGTGCTTGGGGGGGCCAACAGTGGGAGGGCTTCTAATGTCCTGGCCCCACTGGTGGACCTCCTGATGGCATCTGGTATTTTTGGCCACTGTGTGACAGAGTGTTGGACTAGATGGGCCTTTGGCCTGATCCAACATTGGCGTCTCTTATGTTCTTATGTTCAGATACTGAAAGTGAAGATTTCTTTTTAACAGATCAAAAGAGTGACAAGCTGGGTTTCTAGTTATCATCTGTTTGGGTTCAACTGGGGGGAAAAAACAACATAGGTAATAAATATGTCAGAACGGGAGATTGATGTGTCCTAAATTGTGATAATCCCATCAGACCCTATCCATCTCCTTTCTAGCATGGAGGCTAATTTTACAACATCTTGGCTGTGTAGAGTATTTTCCTTGTCCACAAAACAGAGAACTACATTTAAATCTACCATTCCAAATTACATTACATATTCAACTATATTCTTAATGTGGAATGAGCTCCCTCATGAGATCAGAGCTCTACGGAACCTCCAGCGGAGGTTCCGTAGAGCCGTTAAAACAGAGCTGTTTTGCCAGGCGTTCCAATAAGAACGGATTACGCCCATGGTGCCGCACTAGTACTTTATCACAGGATGTATTCGCTGGGATTTTATGGAATCGTATTTTATATTTTGTAATTGTTGGTTTTGGTTGGTTTTAAATTGCTTGTAAGCCGCTTTGGTGGGAGGGTGGGGTAGAAATTTAATTAAGTAAATAAATAAATAAATAAATAACGTTTTGCTTCACTAAAACATGGAGTTAACTGACAGAATCCTTTCCCTGGAGTACAATGTTATGTCACAGATCAACAAGATATTGCATTGCATTTCAAGCACTATTATAACCAATGCTCCCTCTAAGCTGTGGAGAGTTGTGAGCAAAAATTCTATTTTGTGAGCTACTGGCGTTAAAGTTGTGAACCAGTGACCTGGCTACTGCATTGGTTAGTTTGCTCTGGAGCCCTCCTTCCCGAGCTGAGACAAAAATGTGTGAGCCGATTATAACATACGGTTTAAAAAAAAAATAAGCAAAATATAGGGATGTATAGCCCTTCTTTCCTGCCAACGAAAGCAAGAAATTGCAAATAGATAAATAGGTACCACTTAGGTGGGAAGGTAACAGCGTTTGGTGCGCCTTGGCCACATGACCACGGAAACGTCTTCGGACAGTGCCGGCTCTTCGGCTTTGAAACAGAGATGAGCACCACAACCCTAGAGTCGGACTCGACTGGCTTTTGAGCAAGGGAACCTTTACCTTTACAGCCCTTCTTGGTGAGAACACATATGTGAGAATTGAATGAACAACTGGGCAGTGGGAGCTTGGCAAACCTTAAATCCCTAATGTATAGCTGATATGAGGACATCAGCAGTGCGAACAACGAAAGGCTGGCGAAGTGTACATTATTACCGTTATACAGAGCACACACAAAATTCAGTGGGGGCAGGGCAAGGCGGGTTGGGGTCCAAGGTGGCTGAAACTACGATCAACCCCCCCCCCCCGTCCACTACAACTCTATTTCCTTTTTCTCGCCTCTAACTCTCCGCCAATCACCAGTTGCGGCGGCCCTTCAGACCAATGAGATTGGGCTGACAGGCGGGGCAATGCTCAAGAGGTCACGGCCAGCCAATCGGCGCGCGGGGGCCTTTCAGAGGCCCAATTGGAGGGGTGGTGTCGCTGATGTTGCGCCGTCTGCCTGCCTGTCCGGAGGTGGTGGCTTCTTTGCCTCCGCCTGTTCGGGCAGCTGTTGACGGGGTCCTCGGTAGCTCCGCTCGATCCTTTCCGCTGGGCCTCCGCGGCCCCTAGCGGATGAGGCGATGCAGCCTCCGGGTCCCCTGCAGCCTCCTCCCCCACCGCCGCCGCTCTATGCCCCTAATAACGGGGACTTCACCTTCGTCTCCTCGGCCGACGCGGAAGGTAAGAGTGGGCGAGGGGAGGGCCGTGCCTCCCTTCCTCCAGGGCGCTCCGAAGGGCTGCGGGTACTGAAGGGGGCGGCCAGCACTGTCATCGCCCCCCTCCCCGGGCTTGTGTCTCCGGAGTGGGTGTGGAAAGAGGACTCCGTGTGAACGCCTTTATGCCTTGTGGCCCAGCCTGGTCTGCGTGGCAAGGGCACCTGCGCATAGCCAGGGCGGATGTTTATTCCAGGGAGAAATCAAGGAAATGAGGAGCATTTTCACGTAGCTGCCTCTGTTACCAGCGCAATCCTATGTAGGGTTAGTCTATCCCAAAATCCATGAGTTTAGCCTGCATACAGTTGTACCTTGAGCTGCGCGGACTCAGAAGATGAGCGAAGTAAATCCTGGGCTGATTCGTGTACATACCTTCGGGGCTGTTGCTGGCTTTCTGTCACGTACTCAAGCACCCCAGTCGGATTCGTCATGGATTGTCATTGTGGCAAACGGGACTCCTAGGTTGATGTGAGCATGTACAGATCTTGCATGTAGACGGTGTTGGACACATACTTCTGACATCATTAAAGTATAACTGTATTATCATATGCACATCACTCTGTTATGGGGCTGGAAGATGGATTGGAAGACAAATCGTGTTCATGGGCTGTAATCTTCCTCTCCATTTTGTCCGATTAGGGATGGTCAACTTCCTAGAAACCACAGTTTTCCGAAGAGAATTGTCTGCCAGAATCAGTATAGCCTGAGCATGCATCCTTGTGTGTGTCTGTTTCTACAAGAGCTGTGCACTTCAATTTCTCTGTATCCTCTGTGTATTCGGATGACTATGTGACAGTGAATTAATGTTTTCAGGATTGGGGAACGTGTTTAGGCCTTTTTTTACTGCAAAGTTTAGTGTAATTGTTTTATTTATCTTTATTTATTATTTCTGAGACTTGTATCCCTCCCTACCCCACAAGCAGACTCAGGGCAGCTCCCAACACATCATCCAACAATAAAATCTTACATTAATTAATAAAACAGTTCATTAAAACATCAAAATTTCATCAACTAATTTCAATATCTGCTAACAGCACAGCGAATAATTTCTTCTTCTTTCAGTGTCTGCTGGGCTCATGCCAGGGAGGGTGGGTGTGTTCTGCATAAACAGATCACTCAGTCCAGGCACCCAAGATGTAAGCAGATGTAAGATGTAAGCCTCCCCTTGAGCAGGGGAGGCCAATGTTATTTGATGTCAGCTGCCTCGCTCAAAGGCCTGGCAGAACAACTCCATTTTGCAGGCCCTGCAGAATTGCAGTAAATCCCGCAGGACCATGTTCCACCAGGCTGGGGCCATGGCTGCAAAAGCTTCCGACTGAAGCTTCCAGCTCAAGTTTAAGGGTAGGCCTGCATAGAGCGAGTTGCAGTAATCAAGCCTAGAAGTGACCGTTGCATGGATCAGTCGCCAAGTCATGAGAGGAGAGGTAGCAAACCAGTTGCCTGACCAACCAAAGACGATAAAAAGCTGATCTGGCAACATTGGTGACCTGGGCCTCCATGGAGTCACCCCCAAGCTCCTATTTCAACCCATAGCATTTCCAGAAGCAAATCCAATTCACTTTCCCTTTCAATCTTACTGGACTGTATACCCTCTCTGACATACAGAGCCACCCCACCTCCAACCCTTCCCCCCCTGTCCTTCCAATATAATATATAACCGGGATAACTTGATCCTAGATCTTGAATTCATTGACCTGTTCCCTCTATCACTAATTCCATATAATTTTAATTCATTCCACTTTGTACGTTCTGCTCTCAGAAGAGCAGATAGATGATGTTGCTGAGTCCCTTCTTTGTGTACTGGATTGTGTTGGACTAGGGTGTGGGAGACCCAGATTCAAATCTGTACTCCGCCATGAAGCTTGCTGGGTGTCCGTGGGGCCAGTCACTCTCAACTTAACTCTGTGGGGCCAGTCACTCCTCAAAGGGTTGTTGTGAGGGTAAAATGAAGGAGGGAAAACCGATGTACATCATGCTGAGTTTCTTGAAAGAAGGATGGGATCAAATGTAAGAAATAAATATCATTTTCATTTGGTGTGTAAATTATCCTCATTGACCTAAACAGAATCGTACTTCTGTAACCTCAGTGATTAATTACTTTATGATCTTCTGTGTGGACCTGCCCTTGAAGGTATCCTGGAAACCTTAGTTAATGCCCTTCTTTTGATAGACACTGGCTTCCATGTTTATACCATGCCAGTTTTCAAACAGCTGCATTCCCTTTTTTTGTGTTTCCAGGCCTCATTCAGGGTTCTTCTGGGTCTTTAAAATTAAGACCCAGAACCTTGAATAAGGCCTGGAAATATAAAGTCCTTTACAACCTGGGACTTGCATACTTGGAGGGCTCCTTCTTCCTGTATTAACCTGCCTGCTAACTAAGGACCTCACAGTGGTAAGAACTTGATCACTCTCAGTTCTTGCTCTGACCGTATGGAATGGCTTTTCAGAGGAGGACCACCTCCAGAAGAGGAGCACCTTCCCTAGCAAATGTTCACCAAACGTGCAAGTCTTCAGGAGGACACTTATAGACTGAAGTTTATTGCAATGGTGTGCTGTTATTCTTAATAGGTAATAGATAACTTTGTTTTAATGTTGGTTGAGGTTGTTGATTATATTGTGTTTTTATCTTGGTATTTGTAAGCCACTTCAAGTATATATTAATGTCTTTGGCTAAAATACACTAACATAAGGCATAGTATGTCGAAATATTCATTTATCTACATTCTAGAATTGGAAAACCATGCTTGTGGTTTTTCACAACTGTGTCTCTTCTTCTTTTCTTAAGAACTTAGTGGTTCAATAGCCTCTCCTGATGTGAAGCTCAATCTTGGAGGAGAAAGTGGAGAATTTATTAAAGAATCTACTGCAACTACATTCCTAAGACAGAGAGGCTATGGCTGGCTTTTGGAAGTAGAAGATGATGACCCTGAAGATAATAAACCACTCTTGTATGTAAATATCCTGAAGTTCATTATTAGCTTTTGAGTGTGGTCTTTTTATGTGAATAAATTGGTCATATTTATTTAATTTATTCAAAATATTTCTATCCCAATTTATCTCTTTGGACTCAAGATGGTGAACAATGTAGTAAACAAGTTCAAAGACATAAATCTTAAATTAATTAACAATATTAAAACAGATAAAATACACAGTCCATTTAAAAGCATTCAGATTCAAAACACATAAATCCACTGTTTGGAAAGATTCTTATTTACATTTTAGGTAAAATTAAGTTTTCAGATCAGTTTGGTTTGGAGGTAGCTCAAATTCAGGTTTCATGCTCAGAGAATAAAAATTCCATTTGAACTCGGACCTGTAGTAGGATTGATATTATGTGAAGGACGGCGTTTTAAATGCCAAGAAAGACAAGACATGTTAGATGATGGCTTGCTTTTACAAGATGCTTAAAGTCAATTTTTCTGCACAAATCATCCTTGAATGAGAACAACTCTGTTACTGGAGTTAGCCAATACTTTCTTGATCATTGTGGCTTGTGGCTGATAGGGCCATCAGGAAGAGTCTTGCTGTTATTGAAAACTGACAGTGCTTCTTTTTGTGCAGTGGCAGTTAAGGTTGCCTCAAACAAAGGAAAACCTTTTTGTTTTGAGTGCATTTTTTATGGTTCCAATAATCCTTTGCTCTGATGTAAAAAAGACATCTGCCAGTGCTTCCTGAAACTGGCTCTCTTTGGTGGGTGTATTTTGTTCAAAGTGTGAAAAATAAATAAATAAACTCACAAGGCTGTGAGTACAGCCTTGTGTTATTCCATAAACCAAGTTAATCTTCCATTCAAATAATTTCAGACATATTATGAAAGTCTTGTTTTTATAACTTTAGGGAGGAACTAGACATTGATCTGAAAGATATATACTACAAAATTCGGTGTGTCTTGATGCCGATGCCTTCACTTGGATTTAATAGACAAGTAGTCAGAGATAATCCTGACTTCTGGGGTCCACTGGCAGTTGTCCTCTTCTTCTCAATGATCTCATTGTATGGACAATTCAAGGTAGGCAAATCTAATCAATCAAGCTGCATCTGAATGTGCATTGTGATGTGGATGAAGATGTGTCCAGCTGCACATCTGCACCTGCATTGATTATGCATGCACAGCTTTTTTTCTTGTATATTTACTGTTGTTTGATTTGAATAGGTACATTATGATATAATTTATAGATTTTTAGTATAACTTGCTGCATTGTAAACAAAGCAGAAATCTCTGAATGAGTTGACAAGACCATTGCATTCTTCCTTCCACATGTGGCTCCCTTTGTTGTCTATGAAGATAGAGCTCTGCAAGGGCTTAGGGAGGTTTGCCTTGCTGTTGTTGAAAATGAGAGGCTTGTTGTACTTCCATCCTCAGATCTGCATTGTCAGATTGTTGCTGCGGAATCTCCTTTAGAGAAGGAAAAATATATTGTCTTCACTTTTCTTCTTTTTTTCCATCTTCACTCTTAATTTTTGAGTAAAAAACTTTAAGAAGTGGAGAGCTTATAGAAATTAGTCAAACTTTGTAACTCAAGAATCCTGTCAAAATTAGTTATTCTTAGTGAAAAGATACTGTATTGATTATAACTTCAACCAACTGTTTTTAAGGTTGTATCCTGGATTATAACTATTTGGATATTTGGATCCTTGACAATCTTCCTGTTGGCCAGAGTTCTTGGAGGAGAGGTATGAATCTTGTGAAAGAAAACTTGATCTGTAAGAACCTAACTTATATTACTTTAAAATAAGTTTCAGCTATTGCATTTTCATTGTTATATCTGTAACTCTAATATAACAACACAAGGAGTTCTGAACCTGTATAGAAGGAGTATGACTCTTCCCTTTAGAAGGACCTGTATAGAAGGAGTATGACTCTTCCCTGGGGACGTAAGAGAGCAACTGTGATGTAAGGGGTTGGAGAGTCAGACTGGCACTGATGAGACCCAGGCTCATATCTTCAACCGGTCATGAAACTTGCTGGGTGCCTTTAGGCTGAGAGTGAGTGACTGGCTCAAGGTACCTAACAGCACGGTTGTGAGGATATAATGTTGCACAAGAGGGGGAAGAGTCAGGTGTGCCATCCTGCACTCCTTAGGTGAAGGGTGGGATGAAGATACAGTACATAAATGCAGATGTTTTAAAAAACAAGTAGGTAAAGAGCAGTGACTGATGGAAATAAGGTTGGTGGTAGTATTGCTAGGATGATGCTGTGATAGGACAGGAAGACTTTCTCAAGGAGAGAGACATAATGAAATATGGACTTTCTGGGCTCAAGGTTGAGAAGTCATATGAAACTGTCTATAACTTGATTAACTTCAAATTTTCAGGTAGCATATGGCCAAGTTCTTGGAGTGATTGGATATTCCTTACTTCCTCTTATTGTAATAGCACCTTTGCTCTTGGTGGTTGGATCATTTGAAGTTGTTTCTACTTTAATAAAAGTAAGTGCAATGTTATAGATTTTTAAAACCCTGATTTACATTTTAGTGGTTTAGTGCAGGAAGTGTTTTTTGTCTTTCTTTTGCATTGTACTCGGCTGTACAGGAATCTCTTGCAACATACTGCACTGCTAGAGCATGTGTCTCAAAGGCTTTCAACTGAACTATGTGCACACAAGCCCTAACCTGGGTAGCCCAGGCTAGCCCGATCTCATCAGATCTTGGAAGCTTAGCAGGGTCAACCCTGGCTAGTAAGTGGCTGGGAGACCACCAAGTAATACCAGGGTTGTGGTGCAGAGGCAGGCAATGGCAAACTACCTCTGAACGTCCTTTGCCTTGAAAACCCTATAAAGCCCCCACAAATCAGCTGTGACTTGATGGCACTTTCCACCACCACATATACTCACAAAAGTGCCCTGTGATGTTAGAGCAGATCATCTAGTGGCCTCTAGAAAAGAAAGGCAATAAGAGAGAACAGAAGGTGAAAAGGCAAAATTGGGGAAGGAAATTTTGACCCATCAGGAAGGATGTTTGAATATATTTGTTATCCTTTCTTCACTATGAATAATATGAATGCATAAGTACCTATTCCTAATATAACGACAAATGTCCACTCATACAAATACAAGTTATATCCATATACAAGAACCAGTACCAAATGTGTTTCAGCTAAAAGCCTTCCTTAGTGATAAAATTCAAATTGAGCACTCCATAAATAGAAAATCAGCTGATTCTTTTCTAATTGTACCTGAGCACTCCATTGGCGCTTTGAGCATTGAAGATTGGTTGTAAACAGATCCATGGGCATATGAAATATTGTACATCTTGTTGAGTTGCCCATGTTGCATCTCAAGGATATTTATCACCACTTAGTCCACAGGTGAACATCTTAGTGTGAGTAAGGTCCATTCTCTATATGATGAGTTTTATGTATATTTTTGGACATTTGTCATCATATTGGGAATAGGTACTTATATGATGAACAATAGGATTGTGGTTTTTAAATGATATTTGGTCGATACAAATGTCATGATGCCAAACTTCCATTTGTGGTGTTTCTTCATCATGTGATACCATTCTAGTGCATAAGATCACAAGGCCTATAAGTGTCACATGATGCCACACATTTTGTTCATACATCACAACTCAGTTTTATGATGCATCTTTAACTTAATAGAACCACCATCAGGAGCCAACCATACGAACTGATTGAATCTTCAACTGACCGAATTGGCCTCCCTTTTCAAAACATGAAGGCTGATAAAAAAACCAAAACTTGCAAGAATGCCTCCCTCCCTTAATGTATGAACATTTGTTGTGCTCCACTGAATTTGGCAGACCTTGGTTTCAAGTAATTTATAGTCTTCCCTCCCCCTTGTTCAAGGAAAAAATGCTGGTTTCTTGGAAAATTTGGATACTTCTTCCTGTGTAAAATAACATCTCATGTTTTATTTTCCATCAGCTTTTTGGAGTCTTTTGGGCTGCATACAGTGCTGCTTCGTTATTAGTTGGTGAAGAGTTTAAAACTAAGAAGCCCCTGCTGATCTATCCCATCTTCTTATTGTACATTTATTTTTTGTCCCTGTATACCGGGGTGTGACCTGCAGTATCGGATTGGGACAGGAACAATATCTTACTTACCATGAAGACTGATGAAATGTCAGGTTATACAGCCCAGCTGAAAGGAGAAATGACTGTCATACCTGGTTGTCAAGGTTTCAAAAAGTGGTAAACTTAAAATATATCTCCATACATTTTTAAACAGGTTTAGTTATGTTAGAGATTTATAACAGAGTTTTAGGTTTCAGTTTATTGAACAAGAGGAAAAAAAGTGTGTTTATAAGGTGAAGTAGCAGAATTGCACCAGGGCCAGATGATAGGCATATTAAAGAAAGGGAAATTCTGATTATTGG